GTGGTTTTGATGTTGTTTCATTGAGTCTAAATATAAGTGGGACATTCATCAAAGAGCATAAGGACAGCTGAAATTCTCCTGATAGAGGATAAAAATGAAGCGATCTATCGATACACTGCTGAGACTCGTCCGTGCCAGCTGATACTAGGCTACAGTGCCAGCGCAGTCATGTGAAATATACAACGGCAAGTCGGCAACGTGACTTTAATACAAAGATTTTGTGTCGTGTTGCTTCGAATAAGACAAATATGTCCTTTGTATTCCGTGACAGCTAAAACATGAATTATTTAATTTAAATAACATGATTAAATTTGGTAAACAAAAAACTTTTTCAATCGACAGAAACTATGGAAACAGTGTTGAAACGGTGTTGAAACACAGCTGACAGAGACGCTCGAAAGGCACCAGAAAATGTGAACACTTGTATATATATTGAACAAAATAGTGTTAATATTTCAGCTAAAAGGTAGATCAGTGTGTTAACAGCAGATCTGTTGGGTGAAGTAGAAAAACAGATAACAATTAAGTCAACTAACACTCACCTTTTAATTTAGTACACGCTTGTCAAAAAGTCAAAAGTTGAAAAGAACGTGAAGCGTGCTCCAGCCCAATTTCCGGTTCCAAAAGACCCGTTCGCAGGCAAACACTGCGCGCAAAGCAGGCTGGTCATTTCCCATTGTTTAACTGCCCCACTCAAGTAAACCACAAAGACTCACAGATGTTGCTTCGCAACATCCGTGAGTCAAAAATAGCCTTATCGATAAACTTTGAGTTTGCAATAAAATGATTTCAAATTCTCGCTTGCAAATAACTTTGCTTTCTTATTTATTTAAAAAATTCAATATAATAAAAAAGGGAATCAATCAGTTAAAGATACACTGAAATTATATTCTGTCTTGTTTAGTTGTTTCATATACGCAAAGGCCGTCGGGTTTTAAAGCCATTATAAAATCAATATTTAAAACAAACTTACCTTCGTTAACGTCGGCTCCCTTCTTTTAGCCGATTCTTTCGCAGTTTCTTTCTGCAAGAGCTTTTGAAATTTACAAAATATTGCAAAAATGCGAGTAAAAATGAAATATATTCGCAAGAAATTTATCAATCATGAATCATCAAATCAAGAAATGTTTGCTATTTCGCTGTCGTGATGCAGTCGTTTATGCAAACTTTAAATTGGACCAATCGGTGTTCGCTATTCATGACAGTCCGCCATATTTTTGAGATCAGTGAAGATGACCACCCACGCACAGTGACCCACGCCCGCGATATTTGATGAACTTTAGACTTCCCTAATGCTTTCGTTTCCCCGGGTGTAAATAGCCGGGGGGAATTAGTACCCTCGCACGGCGCTTCCCGCCGCCGGCTCGGGGATAAGTCAGTCAGTCAGTCAAATCTTAATTTAAGCACGGTAGCTTCATCAGGTTTACAAAAAAGTTATCTATACATTAATAAGTTTAAAAAATTTTTTACGCCTATGTTACAATAATATTTATACCTGTTTTCCATGAATGCCGTGTCTATCGAATATGATGTTTCAACAATTGTCGAAATTCAGTAAGAGATTCCGCTTGTCTTATATTGCTAGGTAAGCTGTTCCATAACACTGCACCACTATAGCTAAAGCTATTTTTAAGATAATTGGTGCGAGGTAAAGGAGCAGCAAGTTTGTTCACGGAGTCTCGAAGTATATAAGAAGTTACATTATCGCGATTAGTAAATTTAGAACATAGATATTCGGGTGCAAGATTGTTTAAAGATTTGAAAACCATCAATGCTTTTTGAAATTGGCGTTGTTGGTTTAGATCATTCCACCCTAGCTTTCCCAATAAACTGAGTAGACTCGATGCATGCCCGAGCGCCACGCGCGAGGGTAAAAATTACAACACGCACTTTTGGGCAGCCTATGGTTTGTCTTGATCTTTCGGGATTTGTTTTGGCTTGCACAACAACGTTGAAAATTTATTTTTAAACGATGATTTCTGTATATATTCTGTTCGGAACTGTCGCTTTTCGTAAAAAAAGCCCACTAGAATGGGTTTTTAGACACTTTTTTCCCTTTTTTTCCATTTTAAGTCTCGATATAAAACTTTTTTGCAATCTTTGCAGTTGAAAAAACAATTCGCTAGTGATGGGCGATTACCGATTACTTGGTATCGATACCACCCGATACCAGGCCCAAACAGGAAGTAGTCGATACTGCACGGTATCGAAAAAGTGTTTCGATTACTTTTAAAATTAGACATTCATTATTATCCTGTAGTTGTGTCATTGTTTTCATGGTTATTTCTAATAAAATTTATGTACTTTTTTGTATTTTGCTGCATTTATCAATTTAATCAAACTTCCTTTATACTTTATTGGTCTTTATTTGACATTCTATCCTTGCCGACAGAATAAATTATGAAAAAGGCGGGAAATAAAGTAATTTTTGTTTTTTATGGATTAAAATGGCGGAGCAAATCGCTACTGTTAAAAATATGTAACTTTCTGAAAATATATTGTTACTGTTGCAGTAGAAGGCTACTTCTTTAACAGTCGGCTCTTTATTAAGTGACTTACATTAATTATTTTGAAAATTGGAAGAAGTAATCGTTTGGGTAATCGATACCTTAATACTTTAACCAAAAAGTAATCGGTATCGTATCGAAACCGACACTTGTGGTATCGCCCATCACTACAATTCGCACTCCCTGCAACCGCGCGAAATTCCCCGCCTCAGGAGTCTGGGACCAATCAAAATGCCCTTATAAATCTGCCATTTTGTGGAGACAAATTTTTCACTGAGAAAAGATAGGAGTACGCATTCTATATCTATTATTTCTATGATGTAGCCCTACATTGTGGTCGTGCGTGATCGGAAATCCTCAGTAAGCTTTTTGTCTGTTGTGTTTCCACAACACCTTGTGGTAATTTCAGTGACTGGTTACATTAGGACCGGAACTGGCGTGAAGCAGACCGAGGTAGACTGTGAGCTTACAGATGGCGCTTTAAGTAGCCGCTATTAGTCCGTATACCTCATTAATGATCTGCCCCCTGACCTGCCAGACTGGTTTCCGCACAATTTTGAAATGTTATAATAAATCTTTTTACAGAGATGCTTTTTTCATTATGTATTTCATTGTTTGTATTCTTAATTCGAAACAAAAGCGCTCGTACCCTAATTTATTATATAGTAGACAGTGAGACACTAGTGAGATATTTTCCATAACTACAATCTTGGAAAAAATATCTGTAGACTTTTCGAAAAATACATCCAAATTTGAAAACATATGATGAAAATGTGAGCATTTTTCAGTTAAAGCAACTATTTACCTTAAACCCCCGAAACAATGTTGGTTCAGGTAAAGTGGATTTGCAACACATGTCACCTAAATACCAACTTTGTATAAGGGGGAGGGGGACAAAGTTTGAAAATTTAAGAAGTCTATTAATTTTTTTCCAGGATTGTAGATCTTCACTAGTGAAGATCTCGATTTTAAAAGTGTTCATTTGCTTTGTTATTTTTACTAACTATATAATAAAAAGAACATTAAATACACGGTGGCTTGAAGTTTCATATCCTATTATTATTTTATCTTCTCGTGGTAAAAACTGAAAACAATATTTTTTACTCACTCGCTGCGCTCGTTCGTAAAAAAATTGTTTTCACCACTCAAACGTAAAATTTATATCTTCTTTATATAATTTATATCTTCTATATAATACCTTATTGAATTCTAATCATTTAATTGGCTGTTTATGGTCACGTGATATTGAATAGAAAATTCCGCGAGTGCAATGGAATAAAACGTATAGTACAATTGCACTCTTTGTGTTTCGATAAATCGCATCCCTCAAAATGCTTCTCATACGAATTTATTAGTCTATTTTGGTATTATATAAAACAAATAATGAATGTTTCTTCGTGCAATGGTAAGAATATTTTCATTCGGTGAAAGATGGAATGTTCCATTCAACTCGGCTGTCGCCTCGTTGAATGGAACATTCCATCTTTCACCGAATGAAAATATTCTTACCATTGCACGAAGAAACATTCATTATTTGTATATTATTTAACCACGCTTCCCTCATCACCCATGGATGATTTTCATGAGGGGCGTCACACAAATTACATTCTAAAAACTAATATAAATTAAATATGAAATAGAATAACACAGAATAACAAATAATACGTAGATAAAAAAATTAAAAAACCAAGACTATTCGATGCCTGACTCTGTAGCACACATTATTTTATCAAATTTTTGAAGCTACTTAAAGATTCTGTTTGCTTTGCCTGCGTAGGTAAACTATTCCATAGAACAGCCCCGCTATATCCAAAAGTCTTTTTTAAATGTTCAGTACGTGGTTTAGGAACTGAAAGATTTATATCAGCATTTCTGAGATTATAAGTAGTACTAAGATTTATGTCCCTTGTTATAAATTTATCCTTTAAGTTCGGAGCTGAGTGGTTGTTTAATATTTTAAACATCAAGACCGATTTATTCATTTTATGTCTGTCGTTCAGATTTTTCCATGACATAGCATGGAGCAAATCTGTCGACCTGACATCATAATTGGCACCTGTCATAATTCTTGCCGCCCTATTTTGTAGTTTTTGTAATTTCTCTTTGAGCATGCTTCCACAATTATCCCATAAAGATGAACAATAGTCAAAATATGGGAGAACGAGAGAATTATATAAATTTTGTAGTGTTTCGGACGGTACAAACGGCTTTACTCTTTTGATGATTCCAATACCGGAGCCAACTTTTCTACATATTGTGTCTATATGGTTTTTCCAGCTCATTCTTTCATCTAGTTCTACTCCCAGACATGGAAAAGAGGAATATCGAGTAACCGGTTTATCATTTACCATAACTGGCTGTTCATTACCAACTTTGTTTTTTAAGTTATAGGGTGATCCTATAAACATTGCTTTTGTCTTTTTTGTGTGAAGTTGCAATTTATTTCGAGAGAGCCATTTGACTATATTTTCTAAATCCTGACTAAGTGGTTACTAGTTCGGAGAAACTTGCGGAAGATGCATATATTTGAGTATCGTCAGCATACATGCCAGGAGTTGTGTTTTTCAGACATTCTGGCAAATCATTTATATATAGTAAAAACATGAGGGGTTCCAAGATAGATCCCTGTGGAACTCCGCATACAATTTCCTTAGCCAACAATGTGTGGCCATCGACAACACAAACTTGGCTTCGTTTCGTCAAATAGGATTGGAACCATTTTAGCTCAAAATCTTGAACACCAAACTGGTATTGCATCTTCCTTAATAGGATTTTATGATCAATAGAGTCGAAGGCTTTCCTAATATCAACTGAAATTAATCCGGTTATTTCTCCATTATCCATATTTTCAAACCAATTGTCACTCATTTCTATTAATAAGGACAGTGTCGAATGTTTGGGCCGGAAGCCCGATTGAAAACGTGAAAGTAGAGAATTGTCTATCAGATATTGATAGAGCTGTCCAAATACTTCTTTCTCAAATAATTTGCTGATAATGGGAAGAATAGATATCGGGCGATAATTTTCATATTTCGTTCTATCTTCTGTTTTATAAACAGGTATTACCCTAGCTCTTTTCCAATCATTAGACTAGTAGCCTATATATATATATATATATATATATATATATATATATATATATATAACGAAATATTCCAAAATATATATGAAACGAATTTCCCCAAATATATAAAACGAAATTCGTCAAATATATAAAACGACATTTTACTAAAATAAAACGACATTTTTGTAGTGATGGGCGATACCGAGTACTCGGTATTCGATACCAGCGATACCACAAACAGCAGTATCGGTATCGATTACTGACGTGGTATCGTTCGATACTTGCACCCTTTTTTAAACGACTTGTTTAATTTAACTTCTTGGTTGAATAAGACTTTTAAATAAACCACTAGTAAAATAACTCTTAATATTCCAAATGTGGTGCGCCATGTATAGAAAATATTTATTACGTTTTGGGCTTTTGGTTTACTTATAGCTTTAGTTAGGTTACATACAGTAATGGAAAATGTTTTTCCGCTGACCGGCAGGTATCTAAAGTAGCCGATACTAGCAATTTAAGTACTCACTTCCGGTATCGAAAATTGAAATTTTGTGTTTATTTTGGTATCGAAATCGGTATCGGCCGATACCGATCTTAAAAGCATCGGTATCGAATTAAAAATCCTGGTATCGCCCATCACTACATTTTTGGCGGAGAAAGAGCGCGACTAATTTATCCGGAGTAAATTTTCTGTAAACCACGCTTATGCAAATATGGCGGGCAACAGAAATCTGCAAAGTTTATCAAATCAGTTGTCAAAGCAATTTCTCGATTGAGTCAAAATAGTGGAGAGGTGCAAGAAACTACAGACGACGTGAAAGCAACGATAGGAACACTCTTTCCTTCAACGAATAGTCAGACAGAAGCAAACCGAAATGAAATTTGTGTGCTCGCGGAACATGACGCGCTTAATACACATGATCGTCGGTAACCCCCAAAACGCAGAATGATTCGTGCCTAATCGCAAATATGGTACCAAGAGACGGCCCCACTGTCAAGCTACGTTAAGCAACAACAAAAATACATATGCTCATATAACCTGCACCACCCTGTAACACCCTGATTTCATCAGGCCCCCAGCAGTGTGTGAGAAAACATTTTCCGCTTCTTTCGTGCCTCAGCCAGCGAAAAATAACACTTCTCGCACACCGCTGGGAACTGCTGCAGCGTCAGCCGCAACCATACAACGCATAGAGTTAATTTATACAGTTTATGCCTTCTGCATTGTTTTTGTAATATTACAGTGCGTCTACTGTAAGTGGGGCCACTTAGAGAACACTAACCAATCGCATTGCAGAACGGAAAGAAAAATCTAATCAAACTAAAGCTCGCCCAATCAAAAGAAAGATTCAGGAAGCCATTAACTGCAATGTTTACTTTTACATGTCTATTTTTACCGTTTGACATTCGTTTATTTGTTCGAATTGTTTTTGCCCTAATGCTGATTGGCTAATGCGCCGTTTGTTGATTTTTTCACTTTCTGTTCTGCAATGTGATTGGTTAGTGTTCTCTAAGTGGCCCCACTTACAGTAGACGCACTGTAATTAAAGAGTTTTTTGACTCAACAATGTAATTGTTCTTTGCCTTCGCAGTACGGCGGAGTACGCCACCCTTCTTGCCTCTGTAGCAGGCGGTCTGGAATACCCAGAGCAGCAGCTGCAGTTGTAGCACCACCAGATCGTAAATTGTGAAGTCCGTAATCTTTTATAGGATCAAGACCTTCCTTCACTAATTCTTTCTTGAACAACTCGCTAGCACGGCTGTATGTCATAGGTGTGCTCCGAAGTATCTGACCATATTTGGAAGCCATGAAATCAGGGTGTTACAGGGTGTGTAGGTTATATGAGCATATTTTTGTTGTTGCTCAACGTAGCTTGACAGTAGGCCGTTTCTTTCTGCGTTTTTGGGATATCGACGATCATGTGTATTCAGTGCGTCATGTTCCGCGACCACGCGAATTTCATTTCGGTTTGCTTCTGTCTGACCATTCGTTGAAGGAAAGAGCGTTCGTATCGTTGCTTCCACGTCGTCTGTAGTTTCTTGCGTCCCCCACTATTACGGCTCTCTGTGCTATTTTGACTCAATCGAGAAATTGCTTTGACAAGATTTGATAAACTTTGCAGATTTCTGTTGCCCGCCATATTTGCATAAGTGTGGTTTACTCCGGATAAATTAGTCGCGCTCTTTCTCCGCCAAAAATGTCGTTTTATTTTAGTAAAACATCGTTTTATATATTTGACGAATTTCGTTTTATATATTTGACGAATTTCGTTTTATATATTTGGGAAAATTCGTTTCATATATATTTTGGAATATTTCGTTTTATATTTATAAGTAATAGCATGGCTTGAGGGAGATTAGTGATTAAATGACCCCGTAACCCAAGGGAGGTTCCAGGTTTGCGGAATCCGCAAACCTGCCGAGGGTAAGGGTCATTTAATCACTAATCTCCCGAAATTATTAGTTTGTAATAGCATAGTTGAGTTCCCATTTAAAAATGGACAAACATGCCGTTGTCCCAGGATTTTCGCCCCCCCTACACTTTCGCCCCCCGGGGGGCGAAATTCCTAGGAATATCGCCCCCCAGGGGGGCGAAAATCCTAGGAATTTCGCCCCCCTTTAGGAAATTCGCCCCCCTTTACAAACTTCGCCTTTTCTTTAGGATTTTCGTCCTCCGTTCAATATTTCGCCCTTCCTAACAGTTGCATGGATAATTATTACATGGCTTTAATCATTTGAAATCAATATCAATTCAAAATTGTTAAGACAGAGCTTGAAATAACAACCGATCACCGATCGGCAAGGAATTGCTTTAATATGATCGGCGGAAAAGTAGGGTTTCGGTTTCCAACCTGAAAAAAGCAGGGAAAGTCATGACTGCCGATCACCATGATCGTGAACTTTGGGAACGCCCGTTTATTATTTCAAGCCCTGCATGTAAGAATACAAATTTACAATTACATGTATCGAAAGGGCTTACACAGTTACAGTAGATCAATAGGACTTATGACGCTTCACAGCACACCATGCATATTTTGCATTTCAGTGTTAATCCTTAAACTCATTGTTAAAAAGTAATCACCGTGGTGGTTATTGTAATTATTGGTATTGTTTTGCATCCACGTTTTGTCGTTATTGAAAAATGTGTGGCTTATAAGTTGTCACTATTTTTTACTTGCATTATTTCAATATAGTTTGTAAATCTCAGAAGCGAAGGGTAAAACTTGCCAATAGGCAATACTCCAATAATATACGTTTCAAAAAAGACGAATAAGCTTTTAGTCTTGCAGAGTTACATTCTCAAATGTTTAAGGCACTAATAAAGTCAAAGTATCATGAAATTATTTGAATAAACCACACCCCATATATAATGCAATTTTCTTTGCGGAAGTCAAGAATCAAGATTACATCACTATTAAATTAAACACTGACATGGAAAGACTGGAAAGTTGATGATTCAACGGACAATAGTCAATACGCTTCCCAACACATTCCACAGATTTTTTATTAATCCTATAGTTTATTGTTAGCAAGTGATTAGTCACTGATTACTGTGGCGGCTATTGTTAACACTGGTATTGATAAAATTTGCAAGCGATTGTTTTTATAATATGTTATGTGAATGTAAACTGTCAGAAGAATACGACAACATGATTTTATCATAGATATCTTATATAAGATATCTATGGATTTTATGCGATCTCTGTGGGCAATGGTTCCACTTTAGATGTGTAGAATATGACACTAGTCTAAGTACCTCAAATGAGTGGTTATGCAGACTGCAGTGTGCACACTACCAGCTGCTATAAAGAAGCCTAAAATGTGTATGTAATTTTGTCTCTTTGTAATAAATAAATAAATAAATCACACAATAAACCTTTTCAACTTGCAATCGTTTTGTTTTTAGATCAAAAATTCAAAATTTATATGGGGGGGGCGAAATTCCTAAAGGGGGGCGATATTCCTAGGAGATTTGCCCCCCTGGGGGCGATATTCCTAGGAGATTCGCCCCGGGGGGCGAATATCCTAGGAATAGCGCCCCCCTTTTGAGAGGGGGGGGCGAATCTCCTGGGGGGGCGAATCTCCTGTGACATCGTACTTGCAATCAGCGAATTTAAGCTAAAACATTTGCTTCTTTGCTTGTGGGATGTAAAAGCTTGTTGCACATGCGCACTTTTTACGCTTTAATCGGTTACGCATGCGCAATCTATCATTTAACGTACCACAACAAAAACGATAAATACGGTATATTAGTATAAAATCGGAGACTGCACGAGCGTAATTTAAATGATGCAACAACTCAGGGATTGGATGATAGTCTATTGACGGATCTGAGCTAACTGTTGCTGTCCCTTGCACGATTATGTGCGTGAGGCACTTGCCTAATGCGTAGTCGGCAGGGAGACAAAAGGTGTGACCCTTGCCAACGGGCGATTAGAACTAATCGCCCGGTCGAGCTGGCGATTAGAACTAATCGCCCGGTCGAGCTGGCGATTAGAACTAATTGCCCGCTACAGCGGGCGATTAGAACTAATCGCCCGCTCGACCGGGCGATTAGTTGGTAATCGACCCTGTTGAAACAAAAGAAACCTGGGCAACTATGCTATTAATATACTAATGTCGTTTTATATATGGGTGTTTTGATTTATATATGAGTGTTTCATTTTATATATTTCTGTTTCGTTGTATATATTTCTGTTTCGCTTTACATATGGCAATTTCGGCTTACAAAAATAGATATGAAATTATATATTTGAAATATAATTATATAAATGGACTTAAAGTAATATTGTACATCTTGGCACGCCATAATTTTAACTATAAGTGTTTGATTGTTCTCAACTGCGTTGAGTTAATGATACGTGACGAAAACATGTCTTATTTACAAAAGAGATCAATTATAACTTCATTTTTAATAACACTGCTTGTACTGTACAGGGTATTTCATTGAGTTGTTCGTACATGTCCCATAAGTAGAAAGTCTTTTGTTTTACGGGTCGCTGTTCGACTTGTTCGAAGCAATTATAGCTTGTCAGATGATTTCAATAGAATACGGCGTTATATATGCTTGATTTAAATTTGAAGGGCTATACATTTTTTTGATGCATACTGTAGAGGATCAATTAGACTTTTTGTCATCTTATATAGTGGGATCATAGATAACTTATCTATGGTGGCTGAGAAAATATCTTATCTATGGTGGCTGAGACATGCTGTCTGGCAATAGTTTTTTCGTATTTTTTATTAGGAAATTTTTTATAAATATATATTTTTTAATTAACCATTTTAAAAACACAATCAAATTTAAATTGAAATTAAAAAAAAGTAAAACAAAAGTGAAATGAAAGTTAAATAAAAAGAAAATATAAATTTAAAGTAAAACAAATTTAATTTAAAATAAAATAAAAATCATTTTCTTTATCAGCCGAGCGCTGCCACTACACGCGTAAAAATTGAGAAAATCAACAACTTGTTCCAGGTTGATATCAACAGGCGTGAACAAGGTTGTGCGGCCCACTACGAACAGTATTGTCAACATGTTGTTACAGCATTGTTCAACTGTAACAACTTGGAACAACATGGTTGACAACTTGTTCATAGTTGTTTTCGAGTGTTTGGCATTGTTTTCGAGTGTTTGGATATCCCGGTGAGACACGAGCTCGAGTTGTTTATATGGCTTCTCAAATGAATCGCGACGTAACAGAATGTTTTCGTTTGCTGATTTGAATAGAATTGTTAACCAAGCATAACGTAATTAGGAATTCTACTGAAGTAATTTTGCATGCGTAATTAAGATATTTGATGAAAACACTAGTGACTTTCATCAAGTTTCACCGGGTTATCCCATTTGGATATCCCATTTGGATATCCCATTTGTGATCAAATAGGTGATTTCATTGGCTGAATTGCTCATGAATTATTAATGAATTTGAGAAATATTTATACACAGCCACAGGAGATTCTGAGGACTATTTTGCTCCAGGAAGAGAATATATTTTTTAGGCCTGTATTACGTGGAAATGAAGGCGGAACATATCTGAGAATGACTGCATTGTCATAGCAGTAATTTACAGTACTAAATTGTATTCTTGTGTGCGAAGCTTGCTCTCAGACTCGGTATACACTTGAGTTGAAATAAATGCATTAATTTCGGATCAAAAATAGGATTTGTAAAGTCTGGTTTCCATATTATATTTACTAATGGCTAATTATGTATGTAAACTTATTGAATTTATTTTTAATTACAGATTACAAAAAGCCAAAAAAGGAAGATATTTAGAATAAGCTTTATTTTGGCCTGCCTTCCTGGCTTAGACCCTTCGTTCACACAAGGTATGGTAGTTTGCATTAGGCTAAATCCCTGGTCTATGTATGAATTTTCATTCGCTGGTCAAACGAGAAACAGAGTTGCATGACAGTTGATATAGTTACCGCAAAAACTCTGGTCGACTCTCATCCAACTACCTCAAATCAGTTGTTAAGTTGATATGAGTGCCAGTTGGCGTTGAAATGTGAGCGATTGGGTTGCAACTCTCATCAAATTTCGTCGTCTTTCAAACGAAGACACCAATAACATTAACACTGATTCATGAGACCGCGGGATGAAAATCGAAATTTTTAGTATATTCACATGAGACCGATATGACTATCACAAATCTTTCAATTTAATTCGATCGCCCGCCATTTTCCTTTTTACAGTGCTTTTGTGTGTATGCCAGTGCACAGCCGAGACCAGTCTGAAATGTATTTGTGTTTATACATACATCCACTGATCTAATAGTAGATCAGTGCATACATCCCGCTCCAAATTCATATCGGTCTGAAGATTCGGTTCGGTCCAAGTGAACTCAAGACTTCAAGAACGGTCTGAGCAATTTTTCGCCCAGGTCTTATGAAAACATCTATTATAAACACAGTAATATCGTCTGGAGTTACTAGTTAAGGGCCTTAGCTCGAAACGTCGAAATTCTCCTTATATTTTCAGGTAGTTGCATCTACCAACGAAAGCTTGTTAATATTATTGACACTACCTACACTGGCACAGACACTTCAAGATTATAAATAATACTCTGACCGAAATGAAATCGTCCCGGTTTGACTTGCCCTCGGTCTCATGTAACAAACTTAACAATTTATAATGGTAATTGAAGTGAGTGGAGTGCAATTTGGACTGAAATCAAACGCGTGATTACAAAATCGCACGACCGCGAAGCGGGAGTGCGATTTGTAATCACAAGTTTGATTTCAGTCCAAAATTGCACGACACGAAGTTCAATTTCCACTTTATTATGTTCATTTTGAAATCTTAAACATTTTTGTAAACCGGAAACGTTTTTGTTTGCAAAAGACACACCTCCGGGATTTATAAAGAATAAGAGACAACACAAGTAAGTTTAAACATATTGTAGGTTTTACGAGTGATTTTGAAAGAGTTTTGGTGCAGTTTTCTGCGTTTAAAATTGGAAATACGATAGGCGAATTTACCTTTGTTGACGCTCTAAATTTGCTTTTGTTGGCGTCTTGACCATATTTGATAGATTATGTTCTTAATTTGCCTGTTAATATTTGTGAAATTTGAAAATTCTTTGCAATTCTTTGATAGTTTACTGTAGCTATCCATATGTGTTTGCTTTTATGTGCAAAAAATTGCTTAAATCATTCATGACATTTGTAAATTTTTTGTTTTTGCTCATTTGCCGTATCACATTTTTCTTAAAATTGATTGGCTGTTTGAATCCTATGATTAAATATGATTGATTGGCTGAAGTCAGCACTCTAATGTGATTGGTTGAAAAGAAGGTGCGATTACAGCACGAATCGCAGTCCTGTGAACCAATCAGATTGCAGGAAACACCATTGATTTCAAAATGAATATAATAAATATAGTAATATAAATTATTCCAATTTAATCAGTAGTGTACATGCTATGCTCTAATGTTTGCAGGTGATGAATGGCCAAGAGGTAGTTATGGTTTCCCTAAACCTAAATCAGGATGTCCAGGTGGTAGGAACAATGTGTGGTTTGAGGGCTGGAGGTATCAGGATTTGGATGACAGTGATAAGAGTACCAGTGAGCGGTCAAGAATATCTAGTGGGTCACATATGGATGTCAAATTAGCTGGAAGTAAAAAGAATGTAAACAGGACATTCTGTATGAAACATAATGCTGCAACACAAAAAAGGTTTTGGCCTAAAGGTAAGGTTCTCAATATTCATATACTGACGATACCTATGATACAGCCATCCATATGTTACAGTATGAACTTCATGGATTCTGCAAGAGGCATTTTGATGCAAATTGGGTTACTGAATGGCATGGAAGAGAACAGAACAATGGGATTTTCAAAACAATGAAAACACAGTTTCCGACCACCATGGGCGGTGATTTTATCAAATCACAATTCTTATGCTGAGTGTCCTTTACAGAATACTAAAGCCTCAAAATATTCACTGCAGTCATTCCTGTGAAAAAAGGGAACCTCCAGCCCTCATGTCAGCAGAATAATGCATCATGTCATTTCTCATGCCTTCAGAATAATTTTATAATAATATCTTGATTCCTGATGCCATCAAAATAATTTTATAATATCTACATTCCTCATGCCATCAGAATGATTTTTTTCAAATCAAAATGATTTCTTCATCTTGTATGCGTTTTTTTGAACGATTTCCCCTCGAAAATGTATTTTTGTTTTGACAGGTTCATATTGTATTTACAAGAGTGGAACGTGTCCGAAAGATATGGAATCAGGCTGGGTGTTTTGGGATGATGAAGATGGTAACAACTATAATAATCACAGAGGATTTCTACCAGATGGTGTATATGATAAAGAAACCAGGATATACTATTGTTGTCAAACTGATGGTAACTGGTATGATTCAATTGAACTGCCAGTCAGTCAACCATTTTATTTACTAACATCTAGCTCTACTGACACTCCCAAATGTCAGATGGTGAAGTGGGCATTTAGTTACTTGGAGTATATTGTGTTTGATACAGAAGACAAGAATAATAGAGATACCCAGGGTGGGGAACATTTGTTTTCAGATGGAGATAAGAAATACTATTGTTACTATGAAGGTACGTTAATATAACTCAGTTCGTAGTACCAACCGAACATTCAAATAACGCTTTCTACAATCAGGAAAAAAATGGCATTTGAAAAAATGTATACCTCATGTACGGTAGCTAAGGATGGAAGATTTAAACATCAGTTCAAGGTATCCAGCTGTTTAATAATCTTTTATGACATATGCTTAAACACTGTCTGAATTGATTGTGCATGCATTTTTGGGCAGAGCTCATATTGAAGGCTGATAATTGTCTATTATTATATGGCTTTTGAAAATTCTTTATTCTGATTGATTGACAAGCGGTCCGTAAAAACCCATGATCCCGGACCGTGGTCTGTATTTTCCGTATCTGGACCGGTGTCTCAGATGTCGTTTATCTGGCGGGAAATTTTTGCTTTGCAAACAGAAAAAAATTTTGCTTTTTAGTGCAAAGTTGCTTTGCACTATTGTTATGAGGTTAAATTCAATTCAGTGACCAATCAATGGATCGATGGATCGATCTATAGAGTAAACAGTCCGGGGGGAGCTTGCAAATTATTTTTATTACGTTTTCTAGAGCTTCGCGATGTTCGGCCAACTAATCGTTCATAGCTGTTTGTAGATTATAACAATCTATGTTTATATTCATGATGGTACATGTTCTTACTTATTTATCCGACATTTAGAGAGGTTAACCAAATTACTGTTGCATTTCAAGCACTTGTTATTATGTGATATGCCCCCTGCAACATAAATACACGTGCATAATACACGTGCTCTCATATTTTTTTTATTTTACAATGGCGGACATAGACGAGCGGTGCCGACTATTGAGCGGCGGTGTGAAATGCTGAAATCGTGTAGACTAGAGTGTATTAGGTTTATCTATGAAAGATACGGAGCGATGTATACATGAATAAGTGCCAGTGGATAGTTTTGATTTAAAATTATAAGTCAGCAGCTGATTTATATCAGCTAGCTTATTCTTGTATTATTTATATATCGCGATAATAGCGATATAACCCGCGGAAAGGAGGGACCGCTCGCAGTCTATATCAGCTAGCTTATTCTTGTATTATTATATCGCGATAGAGCTAGGTTTACATGGCCCAATAAATAGTAAGTAAAATAAAATTAAAATTTTGCTCCAGAGGCGACATGCCGAGGTCGAGCGTATTTATATTGTAGCGACGACGCCGGCGACAGCCGGTGTCCCAATGAACTACAAATGTCTATTAATGATCTAGTGTTTGTAGTGAAGTATATTATTTTTAATAGCAGAAATTTCTGTACTCGTGTAATCTGTAGTCAGTAATGTCAGTTCGTATTGTTTCCGAGACGTTTTAAATAATCAGTCATTCCAAGCTTTTCTCAAACTATTGGTATTTCTCACTTTTAAAAGCAGTTATGGCATTTCATTGATAAACTGTAAAATATTATATTTAATAGTGAGAAATATTTAGATGTCGGCCATAGTTCTGTTTGCATATTAGAGAGGTTAAGATACCCCGATTCCGGTTTACGGGTACGGGTAATATACACGTACCCGTAAATCGCGGCAATAAAAATTTTTATTGCTTTATCTGAAAGAGCATGAAAAAATAAGCCGATTGGCCGTTTACTGCTCTGTTCTATCTCATCTGGTTCCGAAGTTATACGCAAAAATGTGCAAAATATAAATTGCTGATTCAGCACAACGTGTGACGTCATTAGTAGGGTAAGTATGTTTATTGAATAGTAAACTGAAGCATAGCTCAGTTATTATTGGCTCAAGTCAAATGAAATTTTGCATACAGATAGTACATGATGAGACGCATGGGAAACTACTTCTAATTTTGTTGTCAAGGCAACACAGTCGTTCCCACGCCCCTTACACTGATTTTGGATAACTAGTTGCATTTATCTATGTGTAGGTCATTTTCGAATTATTATCATGCAAGTAAACTTTTGGCATGCATAGGTATGGTACACATACTTCTGATATTATTTTATTGTTATAAGTACCATGAATAAAGCTGTTTTATAAAATTTGCTCAAGGGGTCTGGGAACGACATTGTTACCTTGGCAACAAAATTAGAAGTGCTTTTCAATGCGTCTCATCATGTATAATCACAATGCAAAATTTCATTTGATTTGGGCCCATAATAACTGAGCTATGTTTCAGTTTACTATTCAATAAACATACTTACCCTACTAATGACGTCACACGTTGTGCTGAATCAGCAATTTATATTTTGCACATTTTTGCGTATAACTTCGGAACCAGATGAGATAGAATAGAGCATTAAACGGCCAATCGGCTTATTTTT